TTTGTTTAGCAAGTTTGGCCTCCTTAGGTCGTGATTGATCTTAATAAAAAGAGAAGAGAAAAGAGAGGCATTATTGTGTTGTTATGTCTTGTTTTGTTAAAATTATCCGAGATTCAGTTCGTGATGTTATCATGTTGCCTTATTCTGTTAAGTTTCGAGGCCCCTTTTTGCCCTGTTTTTGTCTCGTATTACAAAGACCTTTTAGTGCCGCATTTATGCTGAAGAAGATGTTAAAAATCGAGTTCTATGATGCCTTTCTGTTGAGCTAATACTAATAGGTGAGAGTAGGAGTAGAAGAGCATGGGTTTATATGCTTATGGCCTTGTTTACTGGTGCTACCATGCAGCTTGTTTTGTGCCTTGAAGTGCTGAAACTTAGAGGCTGTTTTATGTGCTAGAAGTTTAATTAAGATTCAGATTCATAGGTTGGAGCTTGATGCCTAAGTGTTAGCTAGATTTAAGAGTTAGAAGAACTAATTGCTTTTAATTGTTAATACGTGCTTTATATGCCTTATGTGTTTAATTGTCATTGTTTGTCCTTGCTTGTCCTTACCTGCATTATTTTCTTGTTCGTCAACATCTTTGATAATAAGGTAAATTATTAACTGTAGATTAAGAGGAGTCGATCCCTTATTCAGACGCACGTGCTTTGAACCAGTTCAGTCAGTAAGTAAGCAATCCAAGTGGGGGTTCTATACTATGGTTTATTCTTTATAAACATGTGGTAGTATAGTTTTTATATGCATGTGATTATGGGCCGGTGGGCCTAAGGTGATGTGAACTTTTACCATGGCGGCTTGAAATAAGAGTCACTAGGCCGGGTAAATATCCGTTAAGTTATCTACTAGCGGGATTGGGTAATGCCAATGGCACTAGTAGAGTTATTTATTAGCGGGATCGGTTGATGCCGAATGCACTAGTAAGTAACCATACCGACGTTCATGAACATAGGTTAACGACGTATAATAGCTAATTAGCCGGGTAAATTATGGAGGCTTGAAATAAGAGTCACTAGTCCGAATTTACCTGGAGGCTTGAAGCTGGGATGATATCAGTCAGTGGTGAGACAGTAAGCTTTACGTGTTTATATAATTATTATCCTATCTTTGTTTATACTGAATCGATGCATACTATGAATTTTACCACTGAGCCGAGAGACGGTGTTCACCCCTTTGTTTTTCAGGTTGATCGAGCTGGCAGCGGATACGAGAGGACGGGCGTGGTCATCTTTAATTATATTTATATTTTCTGTATACACTATTGGAATTTGTATTCAAATTTGAACGTTTGAATTACAGATTGATTAAGTGAAACATGTTTATTTTAAAACATTTATTTATGTTCTGAATATCTTGATAGAAATAATAGCTTTTGTAATGTCAGTCGAAATTGAGATAGATTAAGTAATGCCAGTTACATAATTTTTTTTTTAAAATGATTTGCGAAAAATACACTCTGGTTTTTAGAAAAATATTCGTATTTTATCTTTTAAATAACGGCGCGTGACAGTATGGTATCAGAGCGGGTCTATGGTTCTGTAGACTTGCAATTTTTTTTTTACCTAAAAGTCTTCAAAGTTAAAGATTCTTTTTTTTAAAAAAAAAAAAAAATTCGAAAGGTTTTAAGGTTTGACCACCCGTCTTCGTTGTGCCGCGCCAACCCCAAAGTAAGTATTATGTGGTAAATTTAGTTCAATAAGACAAGTTACATGAGATGTTTATATTTCAGTTTGATGTGACTATGCGATTCAGTTCCATATGATAGAAAATCATATGTTTAAATTAAGAAGTTCTGTTTAATAAGTTCACGTAAGAGTGTAGATAAGTCTCAGTGGACTATATGTATGACTCTATGTATGACTCAGTGGACTATAAATTCACGAGGCATGTTTGCCTTTTTGTGACTATATGTATGACTCTGCATGAGTCTAAGATTGACTTTAGAGTGGGGCTTAGGAATTTATCCTCCTTCATTTAAATTAGTTTGAACTTTAGTGGTTGAGTCTCGTGCTAAAGTTTCAACTTGTCCTATAGATATGGGTCCTCGTAGAGATCCTCAGCATCAACAGGCTCCACCCGCTCATGGTGAAGATCACGGTCGTACGATTGAGCGGTTTCAAAACATGCGTCCTCCCACCTTTTCAGGAGTGGAGGGACTAGCAGCTTTGACGGAGTGGCTCCGTAAACTGGAAAGGATCTTTACCGTTCTCCGATGCTCAGATGCTCAGCGCATTGAGTGTGCCGAATACCAGATGGAGGGTGATGCCGCCGATTGGTGGACTGATTATTGGCTTCTGAGGCCGGAAGCTGAGCGAACTGCCCTCACTTGGGTGAGGATGAAGGAGATTGTTATGGACAAGTACTTTCCCAAGAGCTATCGTGACCAGAAGGAGCGAGAGTTCTATGATCTTAAACAGGATGCCTCTACAGTCGATGAGTATGCTCGGGCTTTCACCCGTTTGAGTGCCTTTGCCAGGCACATGGTTGACACTGAGGAGAGAAAGGCCCGTAAGTTCAGAGACGGGCTTCGCCAGGACATTCGTGTTTTGGTGGCTAGCCACGGAGACCTTCCATTTGCAGAGACTGTTATCCGGGCACAGCAGATTGAGAGTTGCATGACCCCGGTTGCCCCCGTCCCTTCTTATTATCATGCCCAGCCAACTCAGCCAGCTGTTACTTCTCAGCCACCTTCCGACTTAAGCAAGAGGAAGCATGATGATAGACGTGACCAACAACGGAACAAGCGTGGAGGAGCAGACAGACGAGGTGATCACCCTCCTATCCAGAATGTTCAGCCTATCCGCCAAGTGCCTGATGGGCTGCCGCAGTGTGGTAACTGTGGCAGAGCTCATGGAGGAGTGTGCTTGGCAGACCAACAGATCTGCTACTACTGCAAGAAGCCGGGACATTTCACTAAGCAGTGTCCAGAGCGCGGTCAACCGCCGAACCAACAGCCACAACAACCT